GCAGCCGGACTCATCGATCGTGACCGAGGCTCCGTGTGCGAGTGGTTGGACAGCTTCCCTCCAAATTCCTTCAAACATTGTCTTGGAATTGAATTCCGGGATCCCCGTGGCCCTGCACGATGAGACTTTTCTGTATGTCGTGCAGGACGCTGAGATGTCGGCGCCGCCGCTCGGAGACCGTCCGGCTAGTCTGCAGTTCCAAGATGAAGGAGCGGGCGCTACGTCAAAAGCAACGATCTCGCCCAGCGATGTGAACGACGTGTCCATGGTGAATCCGAGACAATATCACCGTATCATGGTACGAAGAGAGGCTCGTGCAAGACTTGAGGCTTCGGGACGAATTCCAAAGGAACGTCAACGCTATCTACACGAGTCGAGACACCGCCATGCCATCAACAGGTCGCGAGGCGACAGCGGACGATTCAGTCGACCCCTAAGCGAGGGAGAAAAACCGCCGAAGAGGCCGCGAACCGAATGACGCTGCTCTCGCCAATCTACGCCCCCGGTACGGACCCCGCGCTTATCTCGAGATGCTATCGAGACTTGTGACGGGCTGTCATAAATCATCATAATGTATATTTAATGAAGATATTCCCACCGAAAGAGCGCAACTGTTGGAGGAGCATCTCTGCAGTATTGCAACAAAAAGGCCAACACCGTGGCGAATCGCTCTGGGAGGAGACCCGGAGTCGTCCGGAAAAACTATTTTCGGAAATAAACCGCTCCGGAATTACATATATGGGGAGAATCGGCAGAACTTGCTTCCAGGGAGAATATAGGGGCTCGCGAATCCTTAGGTAATACGGTGATTGCGCTCAGAAAATATGATGATCACGGAAAATGATTGGTAGTCCTTAAAGTTTCCATCTTGGATGGAAAGCGATGATAGAAGGTTCGCCTGCGCGTGATTATTCTCGCGCGCGCCGCAACGTCCTTCCAGTCAAGCTCCACTCAAGCGACCCTATCGCTGATGTTACGTCAAAGTTCCCGTCTTTTGAAAGATCCTTGCATGATGCATCCAATCTATTTAGAGATTCCTTCGACCTTCAGAGCTTCCAGAGTAGAGCTCAGCCGGAAACTTTCCATCCATCGCTCGTGTGGAATTTCCGAAATTATGATTCGGCGCTTTCCATCGGTTCGGTTCGGAGAGGACAAACGGACCCTCGATGATTGAACCCAGTCCGAATGCCTCCCTATCGAGGGACGCTAACGTCAGCCACGGTTGAGACCTATGCAAGAACTAACACACTAATGTCAGCGACAAACTGATGTCGGAGTCTCGGCTGAGGATGATGACGAGATCGATCAAGAGCTTGCAGCTTGGAGATTTCTGAAGCCGACGTCTCAGGCTTGCGACGAGCCTACAAACTGCAATGCCGCTTTTTGCAGAAATCGCCGGATGGTTCCATAAAGTCGGTTCTCCTGCCACGATTCTCCGGAGAAGGGAAAACCTCCGACCCATACTGCATAACTCCGGTTCCCCCGAAAACTAGGTGATGAGTTAGGCGGGAATATAGGTGAGACTTGAGGATCCCCGCACGATACTGGAGCTGTGCTGCCGAGTTTCGGCTTCGTAATCCCCATCTTTTTTGGCGTAGGATGGAAACTCTGGACCCGGTTGCCTTTCTGAAATCGTGACGAGCGGTCCTCTTGTCCAAAAAGGAACCAAAACATTCTCCTATCTCGTAGCAGCTGCGCATTGAGCGAAGGAGATACACGTGGAACGCTTTGACACGGTGCGGCGTTCAGTTTCTCGGGCGGACGTTTAATGAGCGTCCAATGAATCAGTCGTAGGCGAGACAATAGAGCAGCGCAGCAACTTGGCCGAGATCTATTTGGAGACTCTCCTCGAGTTGCATGACACCTCGCTCGTTGCAGCATGATGGCCTATGCTGTTTCGGTCAACTCTATCTCCGCTCGTCCGAGTGCGCCTTGTTTGCCAGCGCCAGGAGGCTAAAGGTCACGAGTCACGATCCGCCCAGCTCCGGTTGAAGAGACGGAATCGAGCCTCTAGCAGCGGCTCGACGAGATCAAGCTCAATCAGCAGAGCGGTCACTCCGAATGATTCCGGATGTTCATCGCCACCGCTTGAAGAGCTGGATAGACACATGTAGACGGAGCGCATCTTCCGCATCCCTCAAATTATCTCCGACGAGTAAGTGCAGGAAGGTTTCCCTGGAGGGTTGATTCGAACCCGAATCCCGGAGGCAGAGGCTCGATCGAGATGATTTCGATTCTCGAACCCCCCCATTGTCAGAGAGACGGACCCGACCGGCCACGAGGGTCTTCAGCGATCTCCTGAACCCATCGTTCAGCGACTGATTTTTTTCCGGGGAGCGTCGGCGTCGGTGTCTTCACGGTTGCTATGGTGTGCGAACGTCCCGCGTCTTCTAATGGCTTCATACAATTGACTCAGGCAAGGGAATCTCTTCATCGACCAAAATCCCCACAAGGCTGCCGGGGTCGCGAGAGCGTTCGATCTGTCCCCAGGACTGAAGATCCTCTTTCACTCTCGGGACGGAATCGATCGTACCTTCAAGTCCCTCATGAGACGTTGGGTATACATCTATTCTGCTTCGGGAGTGTCGCGCATAAACATCGTCTCTTGATCTGATACGCTAAGATGAAAATGCAGCTGGGCACGAATCGGAGGGACAGCTTGTTCGCTTCCCGTCTGGCGGAGGTATTGTTATAATATTCCGATGTGATGCAGGCGATTATCTGCTTCGGCGCTGTCGGTCGCTCCCCTGAACCTTAGTTAGTGACTCTAGTTGAGCATCCTACTTCACCATCTGTCAGTCACGTGGGGATCCACAAACATCAGTCATATCTCTAATTAGCGTGGAATATCTGCCTTATCAATCAGGTCCTTTCGCAGCAAGCGACTGTGTGGAGTTTGCCTCTCTGTGGCGAGAAACACCCAAGGAGATACAGTTTCACACTCACTCGATGCGAAAAACTGATTAGACCGTTCACGGCCCACACTTTCGCTCGACAAACCAACGGATCGCTTCAGGGAAAGCCTTCGTCGGCAAAGATTGTTCCCACCCTGAGCTCTCTCTCATCGTCGCAGAATGACTCCCCGGAATCTTCGGGAGGGGGGGACTCGCGTCAGTATTCACGTCTATGATTGTCTCCGAGTGCTGAAAATCGTTCCAAGCCGATCAGAAGTCTTTCTACGGTGGTGTTCCTCGAATTCTCGCCGCTCGTCCGTTATTGAACGTGGAGCTCCGCCTTCCCGATGGCATTCTTTCAGGATATAGGGACTATTGCCTCGGCTGCCGTAGGAGGCCTACCGGATTCAAAACAGCAACCTTGCGCATGAGACAGCCGAAAATCGTTATTGGAAGAGATCCTCCCCCTTGCCCAGCTACTGGAACCGCCACGCCGGGGAGCGCCGGTCCCGTTATCATCTGGTTGCGGCCTGTTCTGGGAGCCCGTTCTTGGTCCTCTGCGTTCTCCGATACTTAGAGTACACCAAGCCTATCTCGGATTATTTCATGGTGTTGATGATCCCCCGGTGCGAGATTAGCCAAGCTTCGGATAATTGTGAAGAAAAGCTTCCGAAAAAATTATGTAATGACGGGCTGACGTCATTTGAACCGTACTCATCATTGGGGGCAGTGATATACATATTGGCGCAACCGGAATCTGAATTTTGAGGTGACCCCGGAGACGATGCGGTAACAGAAGCGTTCTCTCAAAGATGTTCCCGGGCTGAGAGTAAAGCTAAACGATACTAAGAGTACACGGAACGCACCCAAAACGAAACCAAAGAAGATATCAAGCGGCCTTGGCTGGTTGAACCGTGTTCTTGTGCGGAGAAACACCTAGAGATGAACGAGGGCGGTCTGGAAGTCGAACTCCCGCGATTTATCCCGTCGATATTTTTCCGTGAAATCACACAAAGCCCCTCGGACTTGCTTTGCCCGTAATCTCGTGAAGTAGATCATCGTACGACGATCGGATACTACGAAGTCCCTCGGAGCGGTGTCACGCCCGAGCGACGATACTCGTCGACTACTCAACGGAGAACCGCGCTTCCTCATCCGAGTCTCTTATCCCGAATCTTGTCCAGGGGTCGTACTAGCTATTTCGAGGACAACTGCTCGGACGATCATGGTCACACCGACTGTGAAAGATAAGGATAAGTTTTTGCGCCCCCGCCAACTTGTGCACTGAGATGTTTTGCTATCGCCACCTCCCATTCCGATATCCAAGCGAATATTACTTCCCTGCTTTTCTCGAGATTGATTATAATATCTCTTCGAGCTCAGAGATCGTGTTTCGACGCTAGAGCGTGCACTCGTGGTGAGAGAACCTTGGCGAGACCTTACTGACATTTGCAAAGTGTACACCATTCTAATGCGCTACACATGAAGGCCGTTGACCTTGTCAACTTTCCATGCGCGACAGCGGTTTCTCTCTCTAAACGATACATGCTCGAGCGGGGTCCCAACGAGACCCTGTTGGAGGTCGCGCTCGTTCAGCTTATCACACTTGAGTACACCCCGTCGAAGTACATCCCTCGATCACGAAGACCTTGGTGTTCAAAGCTTCGATTGTCCAAAGGGTACTAGTCTCAGGGAGCTTGGTTAGGGAAATGACTCGTTTTTGCAAAACTCCAAGAAGGAGAATCGCTACGCCTCCGTCGGTTAGCCTGGTAGCTCACGCTGCTAGTGGAAATCGAACCAGACATGGTATGATGTGATGAGACAATAAGTTCTGTCTATGAATCGGCTTCCCGGTTCGCAAACGGTTCCAGCGGTGCGAATGAACTTTTTCGGAGATGTCCCATTCGCTGTTGTCTCATATGGAACCCGGAAGTCATGCTCCTGATCTCCTTCAAACCGATAATTTTCCGAGTCGGGGCATCGAGTCTCTCCCATGTTCAAGAAGGTTTTTCTTCGTCAATCTCGTTTAGGGAAAGAAATCAATTCGATACTCTCGGAAGCTCCGACTGTCGATGCGATCGAGTCAACCCGCAGCATCGAGCATCACGGACAGCTTCTCATCCTCCTGTCAGAATCTTCGCAGTAGGTGAACGTACATGACGCATCAGGTCCATCAAGCACGGGACATTCATCGGTTTCTCTCGATAGCATGGATTCAGCCAGTATGCCTAAGCGCATATTTGATACGCCTACAATGGCCTAATTGAATCCATTTGCCCCCAGTGCGTGTCGAGCTCAGCACTCCTGTCGATAGGCTCGTTCTCCAAAAATGATGAAGAGCCTCTGGGAATCTCTTCAATTGATCTATCGCAACGAGACTTGAGCATGAACGATCCATGTGTTCCTCTGAGCTCTCGTCGCAGGTAATTTCCCACAATCTCATAGTTGTGGATTGAATTCCGTCTTACCCCGGTAAACATTCGAAGGTCTCCGAAAGTTGCCGACACTCTGGATGGTGTTTTCACGCAATCAGTCCGGAAGCTCCTCCGCGAATTTTTCCACTTTCCTCGCGAGGTTCCATTCACCCCAAACGTACGTGGAAAATCCTCGTTCTCCTGATGGCGGTCGCTGAATCAAAACAGCGCTTGCCGATAAAAAAGCCGCCTCTGGTCTACGAGCGACTTCCTATGACAATGCGTGAGGCTTTCCACGTAGGACTCCTGTTTACGTCGAAGCAAGTCTGCAAATAAGACTCGACCTCGGTGAATTAAATTCGCTCTGTCTATCTAGATGTTGTCAGTCGACGCAGGAAGTGGTGTATTCAAAATGACTTGTTCCCTCGAGAACGAACCATCGCACGAATCCTCGCACCTCCGCACTCTCAATGCCCTCTCGCCGCCTGGTATAAAGATGTCACCGGTACCGCAATCAAGCACGCTCAATCGAGCCACGACTCTCGAAAGCATTCCAACAAGTGTCCCTCTTCTCTCGCGTTTCCGTCTCTTCAACTTCTGAATGCGCACTGACCCGCCTCCGGCACTTCAGTCGGCCGTTTTTGACTCCCTACTTCAATTGAAGGGTTCTCGTTGCGGTAATACCGGTAACACTCTCGAGTTACGAGTACTTTCACTCCTCCATCACGTGCCCTGAACGTACGTACCACGAGCTCCGGAAACATGGTGTTCGTAGTGACCCGATCGGGATGTTTGTGATATCGATGGATTCATTAGTACAATCAATCTAATGCCATATCTATCCACAGTGGTGTTCGATTCTCGTCTTGGGCATCTCATTGAAGCTTCGCGAAGCTCCCCACAGCAACCCGACTCGAAATCTCCAGGAATTCCGCGTTCGCCCACGAATCTCACAGTTCCACGACTATGCGTCCCTCAGCCGATTTCCAGAGCACTGAGGTCTTCAGGTACGAAATATTTCTCTCGATAGAAACTCAGTGTCGATGATGTGGTCTCGGTCTCTGAAGACTGTCGCAAGAAAGCCGTCATCAAGGTCCTCCCATTCCAGGAAGAACAGCGTCCAGGCTGTTCTGCCGAAGGAGAAGAAAGCCGAACTCTTGACATTTCAAGAGTCGAAGGAACGCCAACAGGAAAAAAAGCAAAAAGATATCTGGGGTCCGATTTGGAGAGACAGGAAGAATTTCAATGAAATGCATTTCTGTTGAATCTCCGCCCCGGGCTTCTACCGATTCAAGGATAGAAGTGAATCGTCAGCTATGGAAACTAAGCACTGAAATTGGAAAAAAATCGGATCCGGCAAGACTTCATCAAAATTTCCAAGAACGAATCATGTCGGTGTCTGGGGGAGTTTTGGAAGCCTTTGAACAGCATGCCCTCGCTCGTATTCGAAAATAAAGCTCAGTCAGTAAGCTTGGCTTGCCATAGCTAGCATTCACTGCCATGACACAAGGAAACGATCCTTCGCTATCGCTTACGGAAGTCAAAACTCATGCTGATAACGGGAACCGGATTAACGTACTCCGTACCCCTCATCGAAGAAACACAAGAGATCTACGATGCTCTCGCTTGAGCGTAGTTCACCGTTTTATTCGCAGTCACGGATAGCTTCTTCGATCGAGCAGGGGAATCTCGGAGGATCTCCTTAGGAACGCGTTGATCGCTTCTAGGATTCTCTGATTGGATCAGACTCCGTGTTGAGACACAGGTGTTCCGTGGAATGGGACGCGGTATCGCCCCGGGTTGAGGAGCAGCATTAATGCGCGCTTCTGGACCTCCATCTAATTCAACATCAAGGATTCACGCAGTATGTCCCGGTCCTTCGCGCTGGAACAACTTTCGTCCAGGGTGCAGGAATCTGGGGAAACAAGGATGGTTTTTCGATTGAGCTATTCGGTCGGAAGTCGCTTTGATCGAGATCTGTAAGCTGATCACGGAATAGAATCTCGCCCCTCCCCTGGCTCTACTAGATCAACCGCCGCGTCCTCTTTCGATTGGTCGATATATCTGCTGGAATGGCGAGCTTGATGATTGGTGGGAAGTCTCCTCATGTTAGGCTCGTATCAAGCTCGTTGTGCGACGAAAGCAAATCCGCGTCATATCACGAAATCTTGTCAAAAGCGAACCGACACCGGATGACCATGGAACAAGTGCTTCCCAACGTGCTAGCCAAATGAGTCTATCAAGATGAGGATAGAGGAGGAGGAGCTGCTCGATGAAGATCGTCCAAGCGACTCGACTGCAGCAGCAGGGTATTCCTATTCTCCCGCTTGCTCGACCTTTTGGTCTTTGGAAGCAGTTTCGAATGTCATGTCGGTTTTCTGGCTCTAAACGATCAAGAAATTATGCGCTACTCACCGCTGGTACAGCAGAGTCTGTTGAGAGCACAGTATCCCTTGTTTTCTGCGCCGCATCGTGGACGATTAATGTTGCACGGAGTCATCTTCAGAGCTTCGGACTTGCATGTTGACAAGCCCACAGGGTCCAACACACAGTAATCGGGCGTGCAACAGATACCCGGGCCGAAACATTGACCCGAAGAGCCAGGGCCGCACGGCGGACACTGGGGAGACTACGTGAAACTACTCACTGGACTTCGGGTTTGGGTGCCTGATAGGGAATCAAACTCGATAAAGAAATAAAAGAAAACGTTAGAGCCTTCTCACCCTCCGATACTCGTTCGAATAGAGCTGAAGCCCGAAAGCGGCTGAGCGTTTGCCCCCGATCGGACAATTCGTGATGAAGCAAGCCCAGCTGAGGCTCGAAACTGACAAGAAATACAAGGCGACAAGCTTCATGGTGTGGATTGGGGGATCGAGTGGGATTCCAGAGACGTTACGGCTCTTATATCGCTTCCCTCAGCGCCTCGATCCGACGGACCTTTTCCCGGTTCTAGGTCGGTGATAAATATTCGAGGTAGCTGTTGTTGCAGTCCGCCTGATCTCCCGAACAACGTGGCGAAGCATCTCGCTTGTCGTTGAGTCCTTTCCTGAATTCGGAACCTGTTCAATGCGGCGTCTGATGGAGGGATGCTTCGGTCATCAGTCATCTCCGCTGCTGAATTCCAACGCAAATGGAAAAACAGTAGGCCCACGGATCAAGGAGCGGAGGATGCCCCGTCCCACTGCGCCGGGCCATATTCCGACCGAACTCCGAGGAACATTCAAGGACCTCTATCGCGGGATGGGGCAGCCGACCCAGAGAACTATCGATGGGGAACTTCGACGCCCTGTTGCCGAGCAGTTTCCTCCGTCGTTCCTAGGGAATAGGGAGCGGGGAAAACAAAACCGGGGCAAGAGGCGTCTGAGGCGGAGAAATAATTCTCCACAGATCTCCTCTCTCTGTGCGTCGACAGGGTACATTAGATACACTCATGATATGATGCTTGTGACCTGATATATAGAGTGAGTACTCACCAGAAGAGCCGAGTCGATCGGGGCTCACAGTAGTTTAGGCAGTAGTGCGCAGGTAGATTTTCATGGGGACTACTTGCGGCACTACTACTTAACGAACTGAATGGCCGAATCTTCCGAGAATCGCTTGATGGTACCGGCACATTCTCCCTTGAGATTCCATGTAGTACCGGGGGTGAGATCAGGGACCGCTGGCATCCAAGCGCTTGTGGGTCCCAATAACGAGACACCTCCCGGCTGGGATTCCTGGAGAGTCCCTGTGTAGATTCGTGGGAATCGAACTTCCCGGTTCCTTCTCATCCAGTGTGCACCTGTCATGCTCGTACATCGACTAAATGGACGGCACTCGGGAAACTCATGGCCGTGAAGCGGCACACCATGTTGACTCTGGCGCCGCACGAGCCCCGCTCTACCGCAGAGTCGACTCGGGCTGCGTTTACCTCTCGGGAAAGCTCAAAAACTTGTCAGGAGCCGGGAAAACAGCTCGTTACCCGCTACAAGCTCCGTCTGCCCTGGTGAACGTTCGAGCCAGTTCTGAGAGACACTGTGGCCTTCTATTAAAACTATAAGCGATTGTAGTCGGAAGGATCTATTTTCTGATTGGTTGTTCCACCGTCACCGCGGAGTCGTGACCCAAACAGATGGAAATAACGTGAAGACGACAAACTAGGGCTTGCTTCATGCCTGCTGACGTTAAACGCATGTAAAGAGTCCGCTGCCATCCAGCGCGAACCACCGCCAGCTGCACTCGAACTCCCCAGAATAAAGGAACCGTCTTTCATTCGAGTGAACTATGGTCGATTGTTCGACTTGACGTGGCGGCGACCGTGTCAGACATGTAGACTGAACTGAATTTGCACGGGATGCCCTCCTCGAAGAGCACTCCCACGTACGGCAACTCTTGACCCGGTAGGAACGAGAGCCGTCGTTCAGCCCCATCGATATGACCAAGGTAGCCGATAATGCTCCCAACAGTCGGAACCAGCTGACTGAACCAGAGCAGCTGAACTTCTCCCTGTGTTCGCTTTCCCAGGATCGAGTGAGACGTTCGAACTCGGGAACGGTTTGCTCGAGACGCATTCGGATTTTGGTTGCGAGATCGAATGTGGAGCGCGGTAGCTGCAGCCTCGATACTGAAGGTCGTCGTTCCACGGCTTATTCACCCGAAAGAATCTCTGGAGCAGCGGTGGAAGATTTCCTCAGTGTTTGCCTTGTAGGCTGTCTCTTTCCGCAGGGAGCTCAAGCCGGAATCGAACCGCTGCCGGGTCCATAAAAAAAGTGGCTGGTTTCTAGAGTCTAGCTTCCGGGCTTCATAAAATGAATAAACGTCAAAAGGATCCTCGAACTCTATCTCCATCCATGCCAGTAGGTCTACTCGGTCGCGTTGTCTCGAGACGCTCGGAACAGTTTCAAGAAAGTGAGCTTTGCCAGTCCCAGCCTCAAGCGTGCCGAATGCCACCTGTGGATGTGGTGCGAAGAGCACCACTGCGCTGAATTGAAGTTTCCATCCCGACTCTAGACTGCCGGAATATATCTTTCTTTATCCATACCCGAACACTCGGGCTCCGTGAAACTATCCCCTAAACACGTTCGTATGACGCGCCAGGTCACTCTAGAGCGACCCTCCTCTCATACATCGAGTCCGATCGATCGAGGCTGCGACCCAGAGGTTCGAAGCGACCGGATGCCCTCGCTCAACCCTCGTGGCATGGAACGGTGCAGCTCTATGAGTCTCCGAAAGGCTTCCCTAGATCTGTACGACAGGTAGAGTTCGAGAAGAAAGCATACCTTGAGGTGCTGCTCTGGTGGGCGCCTCGTAACGGAAAACACTTGAACTTTGGGTTGTGAGGAGCGTGCGAACCACCACAGCGACTGTTACAGAGATCTGGGAGTGGGTTCAGCTGCGCAAAGATCTTGGAGAGCACAGATGCGAAACCCGTATGAATTGTTGTATATACTTTCTAGAGGCACTGTCATGGCGGCTCCGATAGATTCCGAATTTCTCTCAATTTCCGAAACGCTCAAAAACGCCCACGTCTCGGATGAAATAGCGAATGTGGTGGACCAATCGAATCTCGAATGTGATCGTGAAATCGTGAGCCTCCAATTATTACCGATAACCGTCCACGCTATTCTCCATCTTGAATAGTAATCGCGAAGCCTTCCGACCGAGCTTGGGTTCGCCTCCCCCATTCCCAGAAGATTCGTGGGAGGATGTGAGCGGGAACGATTCTGCTCGAACTCGATGCTCAGGGGATGCAGATTTTTTCATTCTAGATGATGTCGAAAGGCGAAGAAAATTCGACGTCGCTATCGTGAGAGCTTTTTTATCGATTGAGACCGCGCCCCAATATAGGAGAAAGTTGGTATGACGACCCTGCTTGATGTTTCCCACGAGGGAAACAGACTGACAGAGCTCATGAAAGCCTCCATTCAAGATCCGGGAACCCTAGGAGAGAGGGCTCCGGGCAGAACTCCAACGATGTTATGTGCAACGGTTTGTTATGTTTTCCATGCATAGACCACAGCTTCGAATAAGACTTCTCTTGGCATCAGAACCCGCGATCGCTGAACATATGTATATGTAGATCGAGTTCAAATCAACGTGTTGTCTCGAGGGCTGAAATATTCATAGCTCCCTGATGTTGGACAGGCTCCGAATTATCCGAACGGGGCCTCCGAGGGAGTTCACGGACGATACGGAGGAGCGAAAGACATCGATTCTCGCTCATTCGTCCGGGATCGGGGGACCGCCACCGAGTCCCGGAAGATTGTTGGATCGTACGTCAGGGCCGATTACTCTCGGGATCGCCGAGCATTCGGGTTTATTGAATCTGTCGACGTGTGGATGCATCGCCTAAGTATCGAGAAGGGAGTCGAGCGCATGCTGAAAAACTTCAGGATCTGCAGGAATCTCCGACACGAAAGCTTGACTCTGGCCGATCATAAAAACTCGGTAGGCGCTTCGACGGGGGTAGCTCGAGCTCAGAACGGAGAAGACTGAGATCTCGACATAGCCCAACCAGTCCCCCCACCTTCAGAGAATAATTGATGTGATCTCGACGCGATTGCGATTCGGGCCTCCAGCCCATAGATAGCGTTTCAACTCTCTTATGCTAGGATGAATCTCCTTATTCGTCTTGCTCATGGGAGGGATGAATAGGATAACCCATCCCTTACCTTTCCTTACTGCTGGATTACGGGCATCGAGGGCGCGGAAATTTCCTATGGTTCTCAACAGACTGGAGCTCGTCGCCAAGAACAATCTCGCCATGGAAGTCTTTCCCGATAAGATGATGAATTCTGGTGGGGAACGTACCCACTGTCAGTTTCAGTCAAGTTCCAGACTGAAACTCGGGTGAATCTCAAATGGAGGCTTTCTCCCTAGAAGGGATGCGACCCCTGTGTTTGGAGGTGGGAATTGGGATTCGCCGACGATGAAGACATGTCCATCGATCAGTGGAGAATAAATACAGGGGAGCGAATATTCGAGCCGATCAGTGTTCCACTCATTCGACTCATTGTGTGATTTATCCCCAGGAGTTCTGGTGGGGAAGACGAATTTCACAGGGACAAAAATGCTTTCATCATCATATCGCAGTAGGGTCTGCCGCTCCATATTCACAGGTGGCGTCGAACACGCTCGCTCGAGCTCCATCCGCTTCCCGTCTGCCTATGTTATCGGAGCTCGCTCAGTTGTGCTTGCTTTGATGCGTCCTAACGCGACTCATTATAATTTGATGCGTCTCATGTAGTCAGCCTGGTATTCGAATGTACTCATATGAGTACACCGCCGCGCTTCTGTGTTTCAGCCGCGCGGTGCTCCGTTGACGATGTGCTGAAGACCTTCCCGAAGGAGAAGAATCGACGTGGGCTCAGAACCCCAGGCCCTCATTCGTTTCCGCCGATGCTTCGCTCGAACCGATCGAGAGCGAGTCGATGTGATGCACAAAGCGACATCAGACTTTCCCGAAAACCTTCAATCTCCAGCCTTCCTCCATCTTTTCCTCAATTAAGGACCGGTCCCGTGGAACTTTACAGCTCCCTGAGCCGGACTCTAGCGCCCCCCTCGAATTCGTCAATTAGTCATCTACTTCCAAGCGCGTGGTATGGAACGATGGTCCGAACTGACTCCGGAACGTCAGCTTGAGATCGCTCTGTCTGTATCTGTTCGACGTTTCGCTTCTGGGGGCAAGAACATGGAAATCAACCTTGACACCGTCGTGTTCCGCACAACCTTAATCCCGTTTTCCCTGTTCACGACAATCGGCTGGAAATTCATGCACTGCGCCGAGTGAATCATCCGACTTCGCCGTGGAGACGACGATCCGACTGGATCTGGTTCGGTAGGCGGCCAGGGCGCTCCAATGGCGAGCCCGTGCGGT